ATACCAAATAAGGGATTCCATATGGCTGTATTTTGTGAACATGTATTCTATTTTATCTATATCTTTTATGAAGAAGTTGCTTTTATGAGTAAATTTTGATGACCTGAGGTTTTGCCTTTTTGTTAAATAAAAACTTAACTAAATTTTTATTTAAATTTATGCTATAACTGGCAGAGATGGTCATTGAATGAAAGACTTTGATTTGATGGTGTGTATGATTTGGAGGAAATAAAACAGCAAAATAATAGACTAGAATGTAAATTTGAATAGGAAGCTACTTTAGATTTTGTGATTAAGGAAGGTCTCTTTTAGAAGTAAAATTTGCATCAAGATGTGGTTATTTAGAATAATCAATAGTGCAAAGATCTTAGAGAAGAAACTTCTGACACTGGGAACTGCTAATTCAAAGGCTCTAAGCTAACTAGATTAGCATGTTTGAAGTTCAGGAAGAAGGTTCATGGGTTGAAAGGCAGTAAGGAGGAAAAATGATAGAAGATGAGATTGGAGATACAATAAATATGGACCAGATAACAGGGAGCTCTTGTAGGCCAAGAAAAGGAATTTGATTTTAAGGACAAAGAGAAACTACTGGAGGTATTAAGCAAGGGAGCAGGAAGATCTTATACAGAATTTTTTAAAGGATCACTCTTATTCTTTGGTTGGTAGTGGACACAGTGGAGAACAGTGGAGGAAAGGCTTTTTGTGAACTGTATTAGAGATGATGTTGATTTGGACTAAGCTAGTAGCTGTAGAAATGGCTTTGGGATATATTTTTGGAGGTGTTATAATTATGATTTACTGAAGGAAGAGGAAGATTCAAGAACAATTTCCTAGAGTGTAGTAGAACAACCAATACTACTTTCTGGTTGAGAAAGAATGAAGGGAAAAAGGAATAAATAGATTTTGGGTTCAAAGATAAATAATGGGATCTGGATGAATTACTTTTGAAATGCCTAATCAGTATTCTAATGGCAGTCTTTAGTGGTCAAGTGAAGCTTGCAGTTCTGATGAAAGCTGTGGGTTGTGGATATAAAATTGAGGGTCAACAATATGTTGATGATATTCTGAGTCAGGGAGCAGTGCTTACTCACCTAGGGAGAGAAGTAGTAGAGAAGAGAATGAAATTTTCAGGTACTTCAATTTGTAGAGATCTAGCAGCAGAAGTTACTAAAGAGAAAGTAGCCAGTGAGTTAGGAGAGAAACCAGGAATCTGGGAGATCATGGAGAGAAGCTGTAATGGTCCATTTTCTGTTGCTATACTAAATTAGCTGAGGCTGAATACCTTCTGAAGTAAAGAGGTTTATTTAGTTCATGATTTTGGAGATGAAAAGTATAAGATCAGGGCCAGGGATTTCTCTCAGTGGTGCCGTGCCTGTCTCACAAGTGCAAGGTCCTGAGTTCGATCCCTGGTATCAAAAAAAAAAAAAAAAGCAAGAAAGAAAAGTACAAATCAGTTGGTTCCTTCTGTCCATCTCTGGTGAGGGCACTCTGGCTATGTCATTACATAGTTGAGAAGCTGTAAAGGAGATAGGTGCATGCAGAAGAGTCAAGTACTGTATAGGGAGTGGTCTTGCTTTATAACCACTCTGTAATAGCTAATTCACTTTCAGAGACCAGCATGAATCCCTTTTGAGTGATTAACCACCTCATACTAGGCCCTACCTCTTAACCTTTTACTGCCTTACCACCATCATATTAGAGACCAAGTCTTCAGCACATCGAACTGTGGTAGAAAAACCACATATCGGTAGCAGAAGCTGAGAGAAGACAGGGTTTCATAAGTTAGTTAATTCTTCTCTTTGTTTTAGCTACTGTATTGGACAGTTTAGATTTAAGTTATAGAGTCAATAATTTAAAATCATAATTTTTACATTTTATGAAGTTTTTCTTAGATGAAATAGAAAACTATTTTTTGAACATTATCCTGTGACTACTTTTATTCAGAGCATTTCTACTACCAACATGTATTAACCTAATGGCTGTCCTTTTCCTTGGTGGTAAAGAACTTAACTAAAGATCCTGATCTTATAATTTCTTGATCCTGTGACTTACATACTAAAAATCTGTAGTAGCTTTGAATATTTTTCAAGATAATTTATAATGCTTAACTTAATGCAGAAGAGTCTATATGACCTAGTTTTTTTTCATGTTTCTGCTCATTTCCTCTTCTGTACTTAATTCCCAAAAGGACCTACTATTGTTTGCCATACATGTCATTTATCTTTTTTTTTTTTGTTTTTGGTACAGGGATTGAACTCAGGACCTTGTGCTTGTGAGGCAGGGGGTGGAACCACTGACCTAAATCCCCAGTCCCTATTTATCTTGAAATAATTATATTTCATGCTATTACAAGTTTTTCTCTCTGCTGAGCGCCCTTCACATTACCCTTCTACCTCTTATCTAGATAACAAGTGCTTCAGAGTCAATATAAAATTCATTCTCTCTGAGAAAACCTCTTATCCACTAGTATGTTTAATATAGATAAGAAGTGCAAATTCAATCAGGATTCACATTTCAGACATATTTTTTACATAGAACAAAAAGAGGATTAATATCTATGATAGAAAAAGTTAAAAGTCAATTAAAAGTCAAAGCCCATTAAAAATGTAAGAGAGTAAGAATAGGTATTTTATATAAGAAGAAATATAAATGATTAAAAAACATGAAATGCAATATTCACTTTTCAGGTTAGTAAATATTTAAAAGATTGATTGCACTTTAGCATGAGCACATAGTGCTGTTCAGTAGAAATATGCAAGCCACATAAATAATTAAGAATTATTTAATAACCACAGTAAAAAGTAAAAGTAACAGGTAGAATTATTTTGTTTCAAAATGCTGAAAATATCACTTCAACATTGTATTAGGGTTCACTAAAGGAACAATAATAACAATAATAAAAGGAACAATAATAATAATATAAAACAAAAGATGTACTAGGTAGGCCTACAATATTAGAAGAAGAGTCCAGTGGCTGTTTGCACAAGGGAGAGCCACAGGATCCAGTAGCAGTTGAGAGTCGAAGGCCAGGAAGCTCACTGCGGTCACTGGTGTGAGTTTGAGTTGGAAAGCCGGAAGAGTCTGCCCTGGAATCGTGAAGGAAATGGAAACCAGTGTCCAAAGGCAATGGTGAAGACTGGAGCTCCTCTAACACTTCTTTCCACTTTTACTCTGTCCAGGCTAAAAGCCTGTTGGTTGATGCCACCCACATACGAAGTGAGTCTTCCCTCCGCAGTTTGGGTCCTGCAAGTCAGTCATCCAGAGACACACTTCGAGCTTTGCTAATCTGCTGGGCCGTTCTTACTCAGGTCAAGTCAACATACTACAGTTAATGATCACAAACATGTAATCAGTATGAAAACTTTTTAAATAGATATTTAGATTTTTTTCATACTAAGTCTTCAAAATCTAGTATATAAATTTCAGAGCATTTAAATTTCACTAGCTGTGGAGAGTAGATGTTCTTGTACATTATTGTACCAGCATTTTGGAGGAGAATTTGGCAGTGTTTATCAAGTTAAAAATTCAAATGACCTGGATTCTATTCTTAGTAGTTCATTCTCAAGATTGTAACATGCATAAAGATTATAGATAGAAATCTATTTTTAGTGTTGTTTATAATGCTAAAACATTGAAAACTAAATGTCCTATAGGGGTTTGCTTAAATATATTTCTAGACCAGTGGTATATTATATAAGCTTCAAAAATGTGCAAGCTGTTTTTGTTGAGATATTGTATGTTAGTAAATGTTAAATGATTTTATATATATAAAATAATTAGAGTGTGTCTGGCTCATATTAAATACACTATCACTGTTTATCATAATTATTATAATTGTTAATTTATTGGTATGGAATAATCTTCTAGCTATGTTCAATACTAATTTTTTTTTTTTTTGGTACCAGGGATCAAACTTGGGTCCTTGTGCTTGCGAGGCAGGCAGCGGAACCACTGAGCTAAATCCCCAGACCCTTCTCCTAGCTATGTTAACTGGAGAAAGAACACTAAGGGCAAAATTATGTAGTATGCCACCATTTGTATTGAGAGAGGGGGAGAAAAGAAAATACATGTCCTTGCTTGTATACATGCAGTATTTGTAAAAGAACAGGCAAGAAACTGATAACACTGATTATATTTGAAGAGGAGAACAAGGTAGTAGGGAGATAGTAACTTTTTTTCTTTGGGTTTTTGAGACAGGGTCTTGCTATGTAGTCCAGGCTGTCCTTGAACTCACAGCTCTCCTCCTGCCTTAGCCTCCTGAATGCTGGGATTACAGGCATGTGCCGCCATGCCCAGTGGGAGATAGTAACTTTTTACTAGGTTCTTTTTTGTACTTTTTCAATTTGACCCATAATAAGTATATTACTCAAATACATTAAATCCATTTTCTTAACTTTTTTGGGGAAAAATCTACTTGTTACCGTGAAATCAGTCCCATTTCTAGAGGTAGTATGAATTACTGTGGTTTTATTCAGGAAAAAACATGATAGTTCATTTCAGTTACCTAGAATGGCAAGAGAATCTAGGAATCTGGGTAAATTTAATTTTAATTAACCAGAAGCACCAGGTTTCAAAATGTTTATGTCTTTTGAAAATATTTCTCAGTCATCCATTTTCTTGTTGTAGGAAGTATGGCATATTAAACTTATAGAATCTTCATTTTCAAAGATTTTACAGAATGTAGGGATCATTCGTATAATCAACTTGTAAAAGGTTTGAGAAATTATTTGAATATATACAGACTTTAGCATATATATCCCAGAAGATGTTTTTTTACAAAGCTGACAGTCACAAGAAGTTAGTTGTAGTAAAGTTTTGTGTGCTACTGGTATTTCTTAAGAATTGAGATCTGGATTTTTAAAAAGTGGAAGAATTCTGGTTGTTTCACATTTCTGACAATCTTGTTAATCAAAATTTCTGGACAAATATATACGATAATTTTATGTTTTGATTATGTATCTTTTATAATGGGAATTTATTGTCATTTTTGGTGTTTTCAGGATTTGGTGTGGATCAGTTACGAGATGACAATCTAGAAACTTACTGGCAATCAGATGGCTCCCAGCCTCATTTAGTGAATATTCAGTTCAGGTAATAAATTTTTTAAATTTTTAATTAATGACTGGACAGGGACATCTATTTTATTTATGTAAAATTTAAAGAAATAGAGGGATTAAATGAAATATATGTGCTTTTAGACTAGTTTTCTGCTCAACTAGATTGCAAACATTTTAAGTTTACTGAGTCGTAGGAACTTCTTGTGGTACCTTGCACAGTTCCTTCATGTAGTTGTTTCTCAAATATATTTTCCAATATGATTTATTTTTAGAAGATACTTTCAGAAAAATATATTTTGCTTATGACCTCTTACAGTGTCTTAATGTATTCAATTGAGGAAATGTGCAGTGATGATGTTAAGTTCTCTAGCTGTGGTGTATGGAGTTAGAATTTGATCCCAGCTGGTTTGTCTTCAAAGGCTGGGTTTGTAATTAGCACTCTGAGCTGCTTCTTGACAAAGGTGTAGCTGGTCTCATTAAAACAGTCAGGAACTCTAGGGCCTCCTTACTAACTCAGCCCTTGTCCCCAGCAAGGAAGCCTAAGGCTTTGATGAAGGTATTTTTAAACAAGGGGTTTAGAAAAGGGGAAATTTTTTAGGAATTTTGAAATAGCATCACAAAGAAGTGCAAGTATGGTACAACTTCTTTTTTTTCCTAAGTCATTTCAGAATAAGTTGCCTTATCTTTCATATCTATGGAATACTTTAGCCTGTCATTTCTATAACAATAATATTTTCTTCTGTATAACCAAAGATGTACCCTTAGGAAATTAAAAAAAAATTTTTCCTTTTTGAGACAGGGTCTCACTATGTAGTTCACACTGGCCTTGAACTCACTGGGTAGCCCAGGCTGGCCTCAAATTCAAGGCGATCCTCCTGCCTCAACCTGCCAAGTGCTAGGATCACAGATGTGTTCCAGTATGCCCAGCAAGACATTAAATTTTTTTTCTTTTTTTTTTTCTGTTACTGGGGATCGAACTCAAGACCTTGCACTTGCAAGGCAGGTGTGGTGCCACTGAGCTAAATCCCAGGCCCTGAGACATTAAATTTTGATACACTATTACCATTTACTTCTACAACTCTGTTCAGGTTATATCAGTTCCAATAAAGTTGAATCAGGTTGAATTTTGTAGTCACTTCTTTTTACTTCCTTTTGATCTAGAACAAACATATCTTCACTCTTGACTTTCGTGATCTTGCCACTTTTGAAGATTATAGGCCATTTATTTTAAGGAATGTCCCTCAATTTTAGTTTCTCCATTATTTCTTTTTTTTTTTGGTACCGGGGATCGAACTCAGGACCTTGTGCTTGCGAGGCACGTGGTGGCACCACTGAGCTAAATCCCCGGACCTCTCCATTATTTCTTGATGAGTAACTTTACGTTATACATCTGGGAAAGTAGCACAGAAGTAATGGTGTATCCTTTTCATTACATCCTGTCAGATGTGGTGGATGAATCTGATTTTCTCCCATTACTGGTGATGTTTACTTTTATCACATATTAAGATAGTGTCTGCAAAGCTTTTAGAACTGCCTTTAGAACAGTTACTCTTTTGCTTTTACAGTTAGTATTTTAAAGTACTTGGAGTATCCTATTCCTCATTTAACTTTTACTTTATTCAATTTAGAGTTTCTAATTTTACTCAATTGGGTTGTAATTATTGTTACTATTTTTGCTTCAGTGCTCAAATTGTTCCAGATTTGGCCACTGGGAGTCCCTCCAAGCTGGCTCTATAACTTTTTGAAATGTGCCCACGATTACTTGAATACTTTCTTATTTTCTAGGAAGATTTTCTGGCTTGGCCCTGGAATCAGCTTTTTCTCCAATGAGATCTGATGTGTTTTTGTGGAATATAGCACTTAGAGACAGACACATCTGGTGTTGGATGTCCTCCTTACTATTGTGATGTTGCTATTCCTGAGCATTCTCAGTAGACAGTTAGGGAATGTACGTAGGTAATATGCACATACAAAATGAATCCAGAAAACATAGTGTTTATTCTAGTCTTCTAAGCAACTTCTTCAGCGGTGAAAACTTGGTTTCCCCTACTGCCCCCCCCCCCTCCCCGGCCCGGCCCGGCCCGGCTTTTTGATACAGAGTCTTGCTATGTAGTCCAGGCTAATGTTTGAACTCACTATGTAGTCCAGGTTGGCCTTGAACTCATGATCTTCCTGCCTCATTCTCCCAAGTGCTGGGATTCCAGGTGTGTGCCACCATGCCTGGCTCTCATATCCTTTCATTAGTCCCTCTGTACATGACCAGTCTTGCATTCTCATTGTTCCCTCTTCCACATACATGCCTCCTCATCTCACCTAGGGTCTGAGCCTCCCCTGTGCAATTATTGTTTCCTTCTCACCACTCCTTCCTACATGAAAATACCATCTTTCTCCAGACTAGTCTGACACCTTATATCAGTCACTCTGGTGTAGTTGTTGTTCTCCATCCAGTGGGCTCTGAAGCTCCTTTCAGGTCATATTTCTTACTGAGCTTTGCTCCAGAACCTCATACTATAGTATGGACCCCTCTTTAGCCTTCTGGACTCTGACATTCCATAACAGGCTATCTCATAGTGTGGATACTTCTTATCTGGCTTAGCTTATTTCATACAGTATCTGATCCTCTTCATTAGGCTGCTCCCTCTTTATGCAGGAACACACTCCTCAACCTGACAGTTCAAATAGTCCAGTTTTGTGCAGATGCCTATCTTATTTGGTCCTTTCTAATGGCTTCAGGACTAAATTGTTTAAGAGAAGCACTGAGGTTTTTTTAAATAAAATTTTTATTTCTTAAAATGATTTCTAAAATTAAAATGATACTAGAGCCCAGTCTCTTTATTAGGAGATAATAAGCCACTATACTTCAAATAGGTAAAATATAATATTTTAATCTACATGATCCCACCTGCCTTCCAAAAAAGGTATAAACTCAAGCTGAGAAATGAGAACAAGGCAGAAGTGTGAAAGATAATTAGAGGTTTTAATTGGCAGTAAGTTTAACTTCAGTTAATAGTGTGATGTGGCTGTTTCAAGATCAATTGTGATCTTAGAATGCAGTGAAGGAATCATAGTACCTATCTACAAAGACCTTATCTTAGTTACCTTTTCATTGCTGAGACAAAATACTCAACACACAAAGTTAAAGGAGGAAAGGTTTATTTGGCTCACAGTTTGTAGAGGTTTCAATTCATAGTTGGCTGGCTCCAAAGCAGGGTGGCATGGCAGAGGAGCACTGCAGCGAAGAAACAATCCATGGCAGGCAGAAGGCAGTAAAGCAGCAAAGTAGTAAAGAAGCAGCAAGCAGCAACAACAGCTCTCTTTCTGTCCCTCTTATTCTATCCAGGCTACCCGCCCTTAGGGTTAGTAGCACTCACACCTAGGTTAGGGCACCCTTATTCCTAGCATCACACCATGAATCAATCTCAGCATCACATCCTTAATCCCAGCATTACACATTCTAGATCCAGCTCCCTCTGAAAAGCCACACCTATGACTTCATGAGGCTTTATGGGGACATCTAGATACAAACCATAACAGATGACCTGTTGTAAATCAAACCATTGTAAATCAGGGACCATCTGTAGTTGTGTTTTACTGAGTGGATATAATTTAACCAGTTCCTTTTAGTAATGAGTATTTATATTGTTTATAATTTTTTAGTAATTTAATAATATTTTTCTACATACATTTTTTAAGTACTTGTGTTACTGTTTTTTAAATGCATTTCTTAGAGGTTGAATTAGTGGGTCAACTGCCTCTGAAAGTACCCTTTTCTAATGAAATCTGTGTATTACTCATTTAAATATTTTCCAATATGATAATAATACCAATATGTGTGTATTTTAATTTCTTTCTTTGGTTCTTAGAAGTTGAACATCTTTTCATACTTTTGGCCTGTTGCTATTTTTCTAAGGTTAATTTTCTGTTTTCTTGTTTCTTTCCCTATAGTATGTATATTTTGAAAGCAAGAGCAGAAATTTATTTCTTGGATTAAATAATGGGTTATGCTTTTCATTTTTTAAAAAACACTTGAGTCCTTTCTAGACTCATTTTCTCACTTAGCAGGTTATTTTCAAGTATTAATATAAAGAAAACCAAGCTTGTTAGAATTCTTTCCTTGTCAAATGTACAACTGAAGAGATTGGAAATCTTTAATACTTATTTGCACACAAAGGTACTGTACCTGATTTGGCTTAGCTGTTTCTTCTTTGCTGACATTTAGTTCTTGATCATGATGTCTATGTAAGTAAAATGTTATATCTTTCCCTATATTTTTGTATATTCTTCCTTTTTATTACTATTAAAATTTAAAGAAAATGGAAATTATTGATTCAAACATTCATTTTAGTAAACTATGATTTTTTTTACATCAGAAGAAAAGATGCTTTGGAAATACTCTTTCTGTATGACAAAGTGCGTGCTGTTTTTTTCTTTATTGCTTTTAGAAGAAAAACAACAGTGAAGACATTATGTATTTATGCAGACTACAAGTCTGATGAAAGCTACACACCAAGCAAGATTTCAGTCAGAGTAGGAAATAATTTTCATAATCTTCAAGAAATTCGGGTATGTCTTTCAAATTTTAAAAAATGTCATTCTTTAACTCTGCTTTTTAGAAAATAGTTCCAGTTGCCATTTGATTATACAGATTAAAATGTTAGCATATTAAAGCAAAATTTTTAATATAGAAGAAAACAGATGTGTATATAATATTTTTTATTTTCTTTTGAATTGTTTATCATTTATGTTTTTCTCAATATTTTATTATGGAAATTTTTGTACACAGGAAATTGAAAGAATTGCACAGTGAATCTCAATCTACTCATCTTCTGGATTTTTCAGTTGTCAGTGTTTTGCTATGTTTGCTTTTAAATCTGTTAATCTCATATTTTATGGAAAGTTGCAGGTATCTATATATTTCATCCCAAATACTTCAACAGAGTACATTAGTACAGCTATGAATATTTTAAAGGTAATATTTATGTACAGTTTTACACAAATCTTATTTAGATTAATTGGTGAGTTTTGACAGATGAATGCATCTGTGTAACCCCAACTCCTTTAGGATATAGAGCTATTTCCACTGCCCTAGAAAATTCTCTCATATCTCTTTTAATCAGTCTATACTTCCACCGTATTATCTGAGGTCAATATTATGGTTTCATTTGTTTGTTATCATATAGCAGTTTTTCCATACAGAATATAAATTTTATGTAAGGGTTCCTTCATTCAGCCTAAGTTTGGGGGGATTCATCCGTGTTGTGGCATGTATTAGCACTTCATTCTTTTTATTCTTGAGTTGTATTCCCTTGTTTTAATATACCACCATTTATTTTACCTATAACTTTTTGAAGCTATTAGGACAGTGTTTTTGTGACCTGAATTTTACCATTCCCCCAATAGTGGCATTTCAGAAATACTGTCAGTGAGTTTGGTTCTTACATTTTTTTGCCAGAAAAATTGTTGAACCTAAGTAATCATTAAAATCTGGTGGCTCTGAGAGATCTTGAAAGATCTGAGTGATTTTTGGAAGACATCTAGTTAATTTGTGGCCTGGACTCTTAGTTGACCTAGTGCTTATATTAAGATCATGTTTCTACATTTATATTTCTCATTTGAGTTAGTAGTAAAGTAATTAATGAAAATCACAAGTACTTGCATTCTTTTTCATTAAATACGTTATTCTTTTATTTGCTTATTGACAAATAAGCAATATTTGTATTGACAAATAACAATAGATAAGGACATTGTCTATAGGTATTTTTGTTGTTTACGCCTTTGAAATGTCCATCACTTAAAGAATTTTTAAGATTTGACAAAAATTATGTGATGATTAATAATGTTGAATAGTTTTTTATATATCTATTGGCTATTTGTATATCTTCTTTTGAGAAATGCCTGTTCAGGTCCTTTGCTCATTTTAAAATCAACTTATTTGTTCTTTTGTCCTGTTGTTTAGTTTTTATATATTTTGCACATTAACCCCTTAGCAAGATACATGGTTTACATATTTTTGTGCCATTCCATAGGTTGTCTCTTTACTATGTTGATTATTTTCTTTGCTATTCAAAAACATTCCAATTTGGTATAATCCTATTGTCCTAGTTTCCTATGCTTTTGGGATCCTAATCAAAAAATAATTGCCAGGCTAATATCAAGAAATTTTTCCTTGTGTTTTCTTCTAGTAATTTACAGTTTGAGGTCTTTTGCTTAAGTTTCTAATCCATTTTGTCTTGATTTTTGTAACTAGTTATAGGTAAGGGGTCTAGTTTTGTTCTTCTGCACATAGATAACCAGCTACTCCAGCATAATTTATTGAAGTGACTCTCCTTTCACCATTGTGTGTTCTTAGCAACTTTGTTGAAAACCAATTGACTGTAAATAAGTAGGTTTTCTTCTAGAGTCTCTGTGTTTCATTGTTCTGTATTTCTGTTTTTATGCCAATACCATGCTGTTTTGATTACTATAGTAGTTTTGTGGTATATTCCAATGTCAGGTAATGCGATGCCTCCATCTTTATTCTTTTTGCTGCAAATTGCTTGGCTATTTGGGTTCTTTTGTGTTTTCATGAGTTTTAGGATTTTTCCATTTCTATGAAAAATTGGAATTTTGGTAAAGATTGCATAAAATCTATAGTTTGTAGAGTTGTAAAAACATTTTAACAATATTAATTTTTCCAATCCATGACCAGTGGATAGCTTTCCATTTATTTGTGTCTTCTGTTTTTTTTTTTTGGTAATGGGGATTGAACTCAGGACATTGTGCTTGCAGTGCCACTGAGCTAAATCCCTGGCCCTATTTGTGTCTTCTTGAATTTCTTTCATCAGTGTGATAGCATTTTCTGTATGTAGTGTTCAGCTAGCTCACCTATTTGGTTAAATTCATTTCTAAGTATTTTTATTGTTGTTGTTGATTTATAAATGGGATTATTTATCCTCATTACTTTTTTTGCTTTTTGGTAGCAGGGATCGAACTCAGGACCTTGTGCTTGCGAAGCAGGCACAGTGCTACTGAGCTAAATCCCCAGCCCTCCTCATTACGTTTTTAGATTGATGATTGGCACTGTTTACAAATGCTACTGATTTTTGTATGTTGAATGTGTAATCTGCAATTTTATTAAATTCTTTTATTCTAACAGTTTTTCAGTGGAATCTTTAACATTTTCTACATACGAGATTTTTGTCACCTGCCTACAGAGTCATTTCTTCCTTTCCAATTTGCACACCCCCCCCCCTTTGTGTAATTGCTCTGAATAGGACTTAGAATACTGTGTTGAATAGAAGTAGCAAGAATGGGATCCTTGTTTTGTTCCAGATCTTAAGAGGAAAAGCTTTCAACTTTTCACCATTGAGTATGATGTTAACCATGGATTTTTCATATATGGACTTTACCATGTTGAGACACATTCCTACTATATGTAATTTGTTGAGAGTTTTTGTCATGAAAAGATGTTGAGACACGGAGAACGGAGGGCAAAGTGAGGGACCTGAGGCCGCCAGGATGAGAGCAGGGGCGGCACGGAGGGACACGGAATGGAGCGGACACCAGGAGATGAGGTGGGAGCCGAGGCTTACATCTTAAAGAAGGAAAAGAAAAAATAAATCCAAATTAAAGAATCAGAAGAGTTGCGGAAAGACACCGAGTGAGAAGACTCGTAGTCTGCTGCCCTGGGGCCGGGGAGAGGGTGTGAGGCCACTCTGAAAGGTGTCCTGCCCCAGAAGGAAGGGGCAGGTGGAGAGAATAAAACAAGAAGAAAGCATGAGGAGCAACCTTGAGCACTGAGCAAAGAAGGAGGCATGGATGATAGGGGAGGAGGTGGCAGACCCCACAAACAAGGGAAGACTTTGCCTGTGAGAAGAAAGGAGCCAAAATTTAATTTAAAAAACTGAAGAACAGCCCAGCACCCAGAAGGAAGCTCCCCTGCTGCCATTGCACACTCCTAGGGCAGAGAAGCTGAGCCAGTCCCAGCACCTGGAAGGAAGCTCCCCTGCAGCCATTCCACGCTTCTAGGGCAGAGAAGGTGAGCCAGTCCCAGCACCCGGAAAGAAGCTCCCCCGCCGCCATTCCACACTCCTAGGGTAGAGAAGGTGAGCCACACAGGCGCCAGAAGCACCTGTCCCCCCCATGGAAATAAGACACAGAACCAAGCCTCAAAAACAGACTTCCAGATCACCTACAGCAACCCCAACGGGAAACGAGATGGAACAGTCTGATACTCAACCACCTGGACTCTCTGAACTGGCAACAAAAGAGGATCTGGGAAAAATGAAATCAGAAATAATTA